CTGCGCCTCGATCCGCCCCACCGCCACCGCGCAACCTGCCGCGGAGGGCGCACCAGCCTCGGAGGCGCGCAAGCGCATGACGCCGCGCATCGCGCTGTACGACTCGGACGACGCCTCGTCCGGCGACGAGCGCGACGGCGAGCGCACCACGGCCGAGACCGACGGCGAGGGCCCCGACAGCGACAGCCGCGAGGAGGACATCCCCGCGGCAGACCCGTTCCAGCCGCTGCGCTGGCCCGCCGGCGGCGACGAGGCGCGCAGGCGGAGCTTCAAGTACGCGCTGTTCGACCAGGCGCGCGGGGAGGAGGCGGACGAGGGCATGGGGGAGGATGATGTGCCCATGGAGGACGTGGCGCGCGATGAGGATGAGCCGCTGGACGTGTTCGAAGAGGCCGAGCGCAGGCAGGTCGCTTTGGTCGGCGAGGGAGAGGTTGCCGTGCGCCCGGAGGCCGGCGAGTTTTTGGTTGAGGGTGCGGAGAGCGGGCTGAGGAGAAGGCCTGGGAGCGTGTATTTTCCGTCGCACTCGCTGCCGTACCCCGCGGCAAGGGACTCCGTCGCGGCCGGGAAGGAGGGGGTGAGGGTCGACACGGGGCTCATGCTGGGGAGGTCGACTAGGGTCGCGTTTGGCCACGCTGGCGATCTTATGTGGCCATGCTATGGGGTCAATACGGCTGATGCGAGGGCTACGCCGGGCTTTGTTGTTGGTGTGGGTGATGTGTTCCATCCGAGGGCCACTGTGCCAAGGGAAAGCTTGTCTAAGATGCTGCGCGTGCATTGCGGTACTTGGTTTGGAAGCATTTCCGTGCAAGAAGCAGAGGCGAGCGACCAGGAAGGCGGGTTGAAGATGCCCTCGCTCAAGGACGGGTTTGAGTTTGCAGAGGTTGCAGACACGACTATAGCACAGTTTGTTGAGGAGCTCAAATTCTGTCACGACGAACGCGGCGATGTCAACGCTCTTCATGCCCACGTTGCGCTGTCCATGCTGCTCGCCTTGTACAAGCAGGATAATGACCCGGTATATGTCGGCGGGAACACCTTGCTCAGACGCATTGCGGAATGGGCCGACGGACCTGCTGGCGTCGCATTCGATGAGGAAGGCAATTGCAAAGCAGTCGGGCTGCGGTCGGCCGTGCTTAATCTATCTCTTGGCAAGATTGAGGAAGCTGTGGCTGCAGCGGCAGAGGCTGGGCATTTACGCTTGTCTCTTCTAATCGCAAGGGCCTTGGAAGCGCCGAAGGAGGGTTTGCGAGAAGATGCGTTGGCGCAATTGGATGCGTATGGCCTGCTTCACGAGCAGGAGGAAAGCAATCGCTCCTCAGCCGAAGACTCCACCTCCGACGCCGGAATCGACTGGGATGCAATTTTGAAAGATTGTCCTTACGATGCCGAGGTAACCGTGGATGAGAGAATGATCCTTCTCATGTTAACTGGACAAGTAGGGTGCGTGGCAAGCTTTCTCGGGCTTTCGTGGTACAGGCTCTTCATCATGGAATTTTTCCATGGGGCCGGATCGTCTGACCTCACGCAAGCGGAAAGGGTGTCCGCTGCTGTTAACGCGATTGATGAAGAGAGGATATCAACACTTGCACCGCATGGATACGGCCAAGCTATTGACGTAGTGTACCATCTACTGCGTTTGTACGCAGATCCGACAGCCTCATACCCTCTCACGGCTGGCGTATACGAGAACGAAAGTGTTGGGGCGATCTACTCCCCTCTTGATGCGCGATTCTCGTGGCTTATTTACCAAGTTCTTACTGCAGTCATCCCGCAAGCGTCGACGCCGAACGCGCCGCAGATGCTTGCGGACGAATTTTCATCTCAACTGCGAGCGGCAGGGCTTCATTTGTGGTCCTTCTATGTTCTATGCAGTGGCGGCGCGCCCGCGCATGTGATGAGAAGCGTTTTGATGCGAGACTGGCCGAACATGTTGAACGATGTTGTGGAATGGACCCCAGCAGGCGAAGCCGATTCGGCCGGTGGCATGCGAGACGACGAACACGGGGAAAGAGGTATGGATTCCAACTTGGAAGAACTGGCCGGCAAACTCGACGCTGAGACATTCCTAGAAGACGTGCTAGGTGTCCCGAAACCTTGGATTGCCGAAGCAAAGGCGATTGCAGCTCATGTCGAAGAAGACTTATTCACCGAATGTAAGCACTGGACTGCGTGCGGGACTGAGAATGGTGCAACTCGGGCTCACGAGCTTTTGTCGAAACACGTGTTTCCCGAAATGATAGCTTGCAAAGACGGATCGCAATTGGAGGAGGTGGCCAGCGTGTTGCGACAACTGGAGGGCTTTAAGCACGTTGCCAACTGGTCAATCAGCGGAGGGCTTATCTTGAACTACCTAGAAGACACAGTGGAGAAGCGAGGCAAGAAGCGGCAACCACTGTCTGTGTATCGGGCGATGGTAGACAGAGTATGCGCATACGCGGCGCGTGCATCAACTCCCGAACAGGTGTATGCGGGTAGCGTGATGGCGGACGAGATTGCGACAGCCGAACGAGCGGTTCTGTTTGACGCCAAAGGGGAAGAGCGGGAGGAAATGGTTGAGTTTTTGGTGGAAGACCTCGAAAGGCTGCCGTGCAGTAAGTCTGTGAAGGTAAGAATCACAGGGGAATATAAGACTGAGATGAAGCGTGGGCAAGCCGTTGCGAGGCGTTTCTCCACGGCGCATGTGCCGTACTCGCGATTTGTGCAGTGAGCGGAAGGTTGGGTTTGCTGGTAATAGATGTATGGGGAAGCATAAGAGCTGCCATCTAGGTTTGGGAGTAAAAAGGTCAGTTTGTAAGGAATTAGAGCATAGAAGAATCGGATGCGGGCGCATGGCTTCCACCACGGTGGAGTTCTGCAGATAGTTGAGGCAAGAGTCAAGCGCTTGGGGAAGCCTCAGGGCCACCGCAGTTTTGAGCGCATTTTCTGTGGAATTTAAACATAGTTTGACACTTGTGGTCATGTGCTACAGTATCTCGCATTGTACCCTTGGTACTGTACGCGCCAGCCCTTTTTCATCTGCTTCGCCTGTGGTCAAAATCCTCTAATTCAGGGCCATTCCATTCATCGTGATTGGCAATCATGCAATCACGCAATCACGCGATCACGACATTAATTTAACGTCGTTCTGCGAGTTGGAGCACAAGATTAATTTTAAGTCGATTGTTTATTTCTTTAATGAGCATGACCATTTTTTAGGAAACGTAATATAAACAACCAACCACAAGGGAGCAGCCACCATTTATTGACGTGATTGCGTGATTGCGTGATTGCCAATCACGATGAATGGAATGGCCCTCAAGAACGCTGCCACTGCTGGGGCAAAGGAGATGTCATCTCCCAGCAATATGACGTCATTCAGATGCGACCTGCGCGTGTGAGAGAAGGCCTGACAGTAACGTTATTTGTCTTGTTCTTGTCCTTGACATCATCACCGTGGGGCCTTGTTTCTCTATAGCAGTATTATCAGTATTCTCCGGATATTTTTATCCAGGCACTTCAAGTCACTCTCTTCAGCAAAGGTCGCCCTCGCTGATGACTTGGAAGCTTTTCTGCTCGGTCATGACGACAGCGCTATTTTTGTCTTGGCCGTAAGGGAGCTGTTGGATGACTTGTCTATCTTGAAAGTCAAAACGTTGTTACATTGCTGAGGATGGGACCTAACTTGTAGATATAAAAGACTCCCTAAAGACTCCCTATAGTTCGTCGGACGAGTAGAAGCAAAAGAACGCAGGTTAGGTGGCTCTTCTTCTCTGTCTCTGTCGCCTCGTGAGGTAATATGTATACTGGGTCATGCCTGAAAATACATTTTAATAAGGCTGTGCGTTTTTCCACCTAGATGATGACATCATCAAACAAAACAAGATGCATCCGGCAATGATGCCCATCCTGGAAAGAGACGGCTTCAGCATCTCTTCTCATTGTTCTCGGCCACACTCCCCGCCTCCTTTCAGTGCACTGTGTGCGGAGCGAGATTCGTGCATTGGTGTG